TGTCGGGAGTAAATGACGGCTGCTATGTTCATTATTACATCCAACAACAGAACACCTCAGTCGCTTGGGAGTCATTCTTGTCTACATCTGCTCCGCGGTGAAACAATGGCAGACTGATGACAGCTCACTCAGGGCGGGTCTGAGTCTGTGCTGAAACGCTACTGTCAATCAAACTATCGTGGGATGGGCCTGTTTTTGTGACGTCACACAGACATGCATTTGAGATCGGCTCGATTTGGGAAAGGGGTAAAGATTTTAGTAGATTAAAAAAAACACTGGGTGGATTTTTATCATTATAGGGTGGTTGTGTACACACACTGCCAACACACATTTCAGTTCAAACAACTTGTAAAAGTGCATGTAGCATCCGATGACCCCTTTAAGGAGTTCCAAAATATGTTTTGTTCATAATTATACAGTATTCAATATTGGTTATACTACATTCCTCTTTGATTGCATTATAAGCATTTTCTTTTCAAATGTTTAAATGTCAGTACAATATGTAGACTTTTTTCATTAGATACATAAGCATGTATAATTCATAAGCACTAATGACAATTTCTCACTTACATTTGATCATTTCTAACATGACTAATGATATGTTGACAGAACAATGTTATGGTACTTTATAGATGTGTGTAATGCAAACTGAACTAACTACACATTTATGTCACTTTTGTATTTGTTTTTACAATCTTCATATTTAATGGTTTATGACTGATACATGTGAAGTGGCTAAATATGAAGGCCTGTTTTTTTTAAATTATTATTATTGGTGGGCAGATGTTAGTTAAGCCTATGCAGTGATGTTTGGATTGATTTAGTATGTCAGGGCATTAGGTAGACTTACTGTTATGCTGTGTAGGCTAGGGCTGCTATGTTAGTGTGCTGAAAGAAAAGCTGTATTTGTCCATAGATGCTTTTTCTACACTATACAAAGTATCTACAATTATGTAAACCGATCACATATTTTAACTGTTACAATTTTATCTGTTTCAGCATGCATGCAAAGTCTAACAAACCAAACCATTGTATTGTCTATCTGTACTTATGATGCTTTAAGTAACCTACTAAAATAAACATTTAACTAAATTATGTGTTCAGCCTAAATTAGTAAAAATAATTTCAACACACATTCCCTGCAACAATGCCAACTCCTTGGAAACGCAAACACTAAGGTGCTTTGACAGCCTCAGCTTGGGGGTTTTAGTTTACTGAAACCTATGCAACCACACTGAATTTGGTTCATTGACATCCTACCCTATTAAACCCTCTTACTTAACCATTTTTAGGTGCCGGTGTTGCACCGAATTATGTGACCCTAGTATGTGCTGTATTGAGCTAATCTGACCTACTCCTAAACCCAGTCCTAAACCTACCCTCACTACAGCGCCTATAGGGTCACAGAATTCGGTGACTCACAGCTCAAGTCCTCCTAGCTTGACAAACTTGAACTCCACCAACGCATACCAGCTGCTTCACAATCTGCCATCCACCTGACACTGTGAGGACAAGGACACCAAATTTACAGATTCACATCATGTGTAACACTTGTAGTGTTGTGAAGGTCACTTTGGAAATGTAATAGGTTACAGAATACAAGTTACCCTATTTAAAATGTAATAAGTAGTGTATTTCAATTACTTATTAAAATAATGTAAATGATTACATTTGATTACTTTTCTAAATGTCTAACAAATGTTTTCAACTGTTAATCATTTTGAAACATTTATAGCAGGCAGGGT